ATAATATAGTGTAAAGCGCATAGAGCCGGCTGTTGAGCGGGGATATGCGCTATACAAATGCTATTTATTATTATTATTATTATCATAAAAAATAAAACCACACATTCATCTCTTTAAAAAAAGAAGCAATATCAGTATCCGGCCATTTCTATTCACTCAGCTGATATTAACTAGATACTACTGTTTTTTTTGGTTTTGTGTAAGTGTTTTACTGCGCTCGCAACTGCATAAGGTCATATGAGCACGCGGAACACACCTAATATTTTCAGTCGTAAGGAAATTTTGAATTTTGCACAGGTGGCGGCAAAAGCCTACTCTTATCAAATTTAGACCACCAAGGGATCTTTAATGAGCGCAACTTGTACACGGGCCCTCTGAGATTTTTCACCCTTGTCCGAGAAGGCTAGGTGTAGATCATTCCTACCAGAAGATCAGGGGCGTAGCTGAAAGACAGCAGTAAGGAGGAGCCAAGGAGAGGAGTAGAAAGGCTGCAGAAAGAGTCTGGAGCCCAGAGGTGATGGCAAAGGAGGTGAGGGGGTGGGGGCAGAAAGAAGAGACGAAAGCAGACGACAGAACATTGCTAGAGAGCAGGAAAGGAGGTGGAAGGAGACAATTTTATAGAAGAAAATGTTTCGGTCGCTATCCGGATTCGAACCCGGGACCTTTGAATGAGAAGCCAACACCTTAACCTCTAGGCCACGAGGGCCCCCAGATACAACTGTATAAGGAGACATGATACTCACCATTAGATTTGCACAGTGCCCAGAGCTTTTTCACCTCAACCTGAGGACAAAAAAACAACAACTTGTAAATGAGGCATTGCCAAAACAGAAAGAATAAAGAATAAAAGAAAGAAATTAAGGAAGGAATAGAATCGTTTCTTTTTCTTCTTTTGCGTAGTTTCAGTATAAGTTTTACGACACTAGCAACACAAATAGGTCACATAAGTACTGAAGATTGGAAGTGTTACTAGAAAGTAACATACATAGAAAAGAAAATGGAGAGATACAAGGATGATAGATGTTTGATAAAAGAGGAGGAGCAAACTACACCAGAGCACCTGCCAACCACAAACTATTTTTGTTTTTATGTAAATACAGTATAACAAAACGACGCAAGAATGTTTAGTTTCAGTAAGTATTTTACGGCACTTGCAACACAATAAGGTCATATAAGTGCCGAAGATTAGAGGTGTCACAAGAGAGTAACAAATACAAAAAAGAAGGAGGGGAGATAAAGATGATAGATGTTAGATAGGAAAGATGATAAATGTTTGATAGGAAAGAAGAAGCAAACCACATCAGAGCACCCGCCAACCACTCACTGACTGAAGAATAGAATCAAATACATAGACACATATTATATAAATGAAACAACAGGCCCATATAAACGAAGCAAACAGTTGAAACAGTAACATACATAGATCTATACATTAATAGGATTAAAAAAAAACCCACACGGATGTGAGATATTACTAGTGAATATATTCAGAAAAACTGCACACATTTCTCTACTGACAGAAACATACAAATACACCTCAACAGATTTTTAAAAACACAGAACATGCACACCACACACACACACACAAATGTATATTGACTCAGCAGCTTAGAGTAAGACTCCATCATACACCATTGAAAAGGAACATATGACAAGCAGTCGATATTTCTATAGCCAATATATACATGGAAACATAAAAAAAAAAAAGTTTTAGTAAGTGTTTTACGGCACTTGCAACACAATAAGGTCACATAAGTGCCGAAGATTAGAGGTGTCACAAGAGAGTAACAAACACAAAAAAGGAGGGGGGGAGATAAAGACGATAGTTGTTGGACAGGAAAGAAGAAGCAAACCACACCAAAGCACCCGCCAACCACCCACGAAAGTGTATGTGTTTACTTCCTCAATCACTCACAAACAAACAAAGCACACACACACATAAATTACCTCCGCGTTTTTCAAAACAGTTGACATCTCTTCCAGTTTCCGGTTTGAGAAAGAACATCGCATATTCAGGGACTTGTTTTCATCTGAAAGGTTTTTAAAAAAGCAAAAGTATTGATTAAATTAAGGGCTTTATGGAAAAAAACAACAACACCCCAGCCTTCGAACTGAAACATCCTGGCAATGTCTCTCAAAATTCCAGTTTTAGCTTTACTTCAAAAGTTTAAGTATAAGCTCTTTATAATTCACGCCAATTCAATTTTTAAAATAAAAACTTGGAACTTGAGTAAGAGTTTTACGGCACTTGCAACACAGTAAGGCCATATAAGTGCCGAAGACTAGAGGTGTTACAAGAGAGTAACAAACACAAAAAAATTGGAGGGGAGATAAAGACGATAGATGTTTGACAGGAAAAAGAAGCAAACCACACCAGAGTACCCGCCAACCACCCACCTCAAAGGTGGCAAAAGTGGGCGCTGGTTGTAATATTCAAATTATAATACAAAATAATAATGCAAACTACAAACACTACGTTGGACAATCACAGGATTTGGCACACGTCGTCCCTAAAAGCCTATCTGTTCAACCAAAGGCTCCTCAAGAAAGGAAAATAAAAACAAAAGCAGCAAAAAAAAACAAAACAACCCCCCCCC